AGACATGAACATTTCTTAAAAGAAGAACTGTTCTTCATTTTAAGTGGGCAAGAAACATGAAAAATGCTCAACATCGCTAATAAGATAAATGCAAATGAAAACCACAGTGAGATATCATCTCACACCAGTCAGAATGGCTATGATAAAAAAGTTCAAAAAACAACAGATGCTAGCGAGGCTGCAGAAAAAAGGGAACACTTACACACTGCTGGTGGAAATGTAAACTAGTTCCGCCACTGTGGAAAGTAGATTGCAGATTTCTCAAAGAAGTTAGAATTGTGATTATGACCCAGCAGTCCCATTACTGGGTATGTATCTGAAAGAAAAGAAATTGTTCTACCAAAAAGACATGTGCATCCATGTTCATTGCAGCACTGCTCACAATAACAAAGACATGGTACCAACCCAGGTGGCTATCAATGATGGAATGGATAAAGAAAATGTAGTACATATACACCGTAGAATACTACATAGCCATTAAAATGAATGAAATCATGTCCTATAAAGGATGAATGCAGCTGGAGGCTATTATTCTAAGTGAATTGTTCTAAGTGAATTAATGCAGAAACAGAAAACCAAATACTGCCTGTTCTCACAAGTGGGAGCTAATCATTGGACACACAGGGACATAACAATGACAACAATAGACACTGGGATCTACTAGAGGAAGGAGGGAAGGAAGGAGACAAGGTTCGAAAAACTGTTGGATACTATGTGGTAAGCAGACAAACAGGTTTGAAGCCTTTAACTCTGGCTAACATTGCTTCACCTCTTTGGGTTCTATGATTATGGTGCTAAGAATTCACTCGGTAATACTGCTGACTGGCAGATCATCCAACATGGACAGAGTGACTGTTATAGCAAAAGCACTATATGGTTTATGAAGCACAGCCATAGCCCAAATCTGGATTATCCCTGTAGGTTTATTATATAAAGTTCAGCTGCTGACAGCAATTATGACACATTGTTTTTTTTTTTTTTTTTTTTTTAGACGGAGTTTCACTCATGTTACCCAGGCTGGAGTGCAATTGCACAATCTCGGCTCACCGCAACCTCCGCCTCCTGGGTTCAGGCAATTCTCCTGCCTCAGCCTCCTGAGTAGCTGGGATTACAGGCACGTACCACCATGCCCAGCTAAGTTTTTGTATTTTTAGTAGAGACGGCGTTTCACCATGTTGACCAGGATGGTCTCGATCTCTTGACCTCATGATCCACCCGCCTCGGCCTCCCAAAGTGCTGGGATTACAGGCTTGAGCCACCGCGTCCGGCCGACACATTGTTTATATTGTTTTATGATCTTAGGATTTCCTGTTTCTATAAATATGGATAATTTCTTTAAAAATGATATGTTACTGATACTCCTAACATAATTTTTAGTGGCCATGGAAACAGTAATTTAATGAACAAGAAGTTTATAAGTGACCTTTATTTTATTCTGTTAAGTGTCTTATTAAAAAACTGTCTGGAAGAACTTGACCTGTAATAGTTCCATTGACTTGAGGTCATTCATACAGAGATTTGGAATGTGTACCATGAATATTTAGTTTTGCTGGAAATCTAACTGCAACTATGTTAATGTATAAACTGGGGCCTGTAGTTCTTACTGATTGACTTAATACTCTCCTAAAAGGTTAAGATTTCCTGTAATCCCAGCACTTTGGGAGGCCGAGGCGGGTGGATCACGAGGTCAAGAGATCGAGACCATCCTGGTCAACATGGTGAAACCCCGTCTCTACTAAAANGAGGAAGGAGAATTGCTTGAACCCAGGAGGCAGAGTTTGCAGTGAGCTAAGATCTTGCCACTATACTGCACAACAGCCTATGTGACAGTATTAGACTCTAAAAAAAAAAAAGAAAGAAAGAAAAGAAAAAGAAAGAGGTGGGGTGTGGTGGCTCACGCCTGTAATCCCAGAACTTTGGGAGGCCAAGGCAGGTGGATCACGAGATCAGGAGTTCGAGACCAGCCTGGCCAACATGGTGAAACCTCTTCTCTACTAAAAATACAAAAACTTAGCCAGGTGTGGTACTGGGCACCTGTAATCTCAGCTACTTGGGAGGCTGAGGCAAGAGAATCACTTGATCATGGGAGGCAGCAGTTACAATAAGACAAGATCACGCCATTGCACTCTAGCCCTGGCGATAGTGCAAGACTCTGTCTCAAAAAAAAAAAAAAAAAAAAAAAAAAAAAAAAAAGTTAAGATTTCATTTTTAGGTTGGAAGAGTGGGACATACAAGGTCCCTGCACACATTGTGTGGCCCTCAAGAATAAGGGACTGAAAACCACATGTACTTTCTCTTGGCCAGGAACATTAGAACATCATACCTTTGAATAGATCAGATTGCTTCATAAACAGCCTTTAGCATTGTTCTTACAAAACCTCATCAAATGTTTCCTTGATTTTATACTTGAAAGTGGGAGACTGTAGAGGCTTAATTTAATAAAATACATGTTTAAAAAATCACCAGGCTGGGTGTGGTGGCTCACACCTGTAATCCCAGCACTTCGGGAGGCTGAGACGGGTGGATCATGAGGTCAGGAGATGAAGACAATCCTGGCTAACACAGTGAAACTCCGTCTCTACTAAAAATACAAAAAATTAGCTGGGCATGGTAGCACATGCCTGTAGTCCCAGCTACTTGGGATGCTAAGGCAGGAGAATCTCTTGAACCCGGGAGGCGGAGGTTGCAGTGAGCCAAGATTGCGCCATTGCACTCAGCCTGGCAACAGAGTGAGACTCCGTCTCGAAACAAAAAACCTAACAAACAAAATCACCACCCCCTGGGTTCAAGTGATTCTCCCGCCTCAGCCTCCTGAGTAACTGGAATTACAAGCATGTGCTACCACATCTGGCTAATTTTGTATTTTTAGTAGAGACTGGGTTTCACAATGTTGGTCAGGCTAGTCCTCAACTCCTGACCTCAGGTGATTTGCCTGCTTCGGCCTCCCAAAGTGCTGGGATTACAGGCGTGAGCCACTGCACCGGGTCTTAATAGCTTTTGTCACAACTCTTACATAAACTTATTCTACATGGAATTTCACTTTGTCACCTAGGCTGGAGAGATCTCAGCTCACTGTAACTAACTAACCTCTGCCTCCCGGGTTCAAGTGATTCTCGTGCCTTAGCCTCCCGAGTACCTGGGACTACAGGCGTGCCTATTTTTTTGGATTTTCAGTAGAGACAGGGTTTCACCGTGTTGGCCAGGTTTGTCTTCAACTCCTGGCCTCAGGTGATCCACCTGCCCTCAGCCTCCCAAAGTGCTAGGATTACAGACATGAGCCACAGTGCCCGACCCCATAAACTTAAACTTAAGTTCTTATGGGTTTGAGAGACTTTTCCAGCTTAACACAAAATTATTAGAATTTGTGATACTGAATTTTACTCTACTTTTTTTTTTAAATAAAAATTTTTTAATGGTGCTTTTTGGGGGGTGAGGGTGCTCTGAGGCAGGAGGATTGCTTGAGGCCAGGAGTTCAAGACTAGCTTGGGCAACATAGCAAAACCCAGTTTCTACAAAAATTAAAAAAAAAAAAAAAAGATGAATGCTTCACAGATTTGCTTGTCATCTTTGGGCGGCAGCTATGCTAATGTTCTCTGTATTGCTCTGGTTTTAGTGTATGTGCTGTTGAAGCCAGTATTCTACCTTTGTTTCAACTGTAAGTTGATTTTATGTTAGAGCTCCAAATCTAGTTTTATATCTTTATATCTAGTTTTATATCTTAAATAAATGAGATCTAAACTTTATTGATTAGAAAACATTTTGATAGGCATTACTTTTATGTTTGAGGAGTATTATTTCTGCTTAGCTTCCTTAATAAGCCATGTTTCAACTATTTTATACATCTTGTTCCTTCTATAGCAGAGGGGAAAGAGGGAGAGAATTTCCCAGAAATTGCTGATTATAACTTACTAAATATTTTGGGTGCAAGTCAGTTTTTGCATTTTCATTAAGTCTTATGTAAAAAATGACCACCTGGTAGCTGAATGAAGTTTTCTAGATAGGTTATTTGTTCTAAATGGCAGAAATTTTAACCTATCTTGTAAAATTTTTAAAGGCTATTAGAATAGGCAATACTTTCATGTTCCAATAAAATATTAGCATGGTAATAAAGGTTAGTATGGTATTAACTCTGGTTTTGCCTTCATTGGGAAAAATGGTTTTTAATTCATCTTATTTTTCTTTCTTGACAGAGCAAATTCGATTAAAGAATATCAGAAAAGTATATGGAAGTTGTATGTGGTATCGCTTACGGTTATCAAAACCCCAGCCAAATATTATTCCTACAGTAAAGTAAGTAATGGATTTCAAGGAGAAAACTGCTTAATGCTTACTCTTTGCTAGGTCATATAAAATATATGTGTAATGATGAATAAGATATTGTGTCTGTAAAGAAATTGTAACCTATAGTTTGGGTAAGATATGAGAAAATGTGAGAGCAGTCTGAACAGAGTCGTTTAGAAGTTCAAGGAGAGTGTACTATTGCTGGGAATCATGGGGAAGAGAGAGATAAGTCATATCTTGAAGGGAGGACCTTGTACACCTTGTGCCAGGACTTGAATTTTATCTTAACGACTATGGGGGAATCTTTAAAAGATTTCAGAAGTAGAGCGGTAACATGAATAAGTTAGCATTTCATGGTGTTAATTAAAGTTTATTGAGCAGATATTGTATGCCAGAATCTGTGCTAGGGCTTTATATGTTATCTAATTTAATTCTGTATTAACTTCAAAGTAGATGGTTTTGGTTTTTCTCAGATGAGGAAACTAAGGCTAAGAATGATGACGTAACTTGGCCAAAGTCATGTAGTTAGAAGTGTTGGATCAGCGACCTAATCACCCTTTATTTTAGCAGGCCCATCTGCTTAAACAGGTCATTAATGTGTTTAATTATAGCAGACCAGTTTAATTCTGTGAGGCTATGGGGTGTACTGGTTATTAAGAGCAATGCTTTGGACATTTATCCTGAGTCATCAATTTAGAGGTAGTAGGTGAAACTGACAGAAGGTGAGAGAGTTACCATTATTGGACAACTATGTCTTGTGAATTACCTACATTTATCCAGTAGATAGGAAGAGAAGATGTAGCAAAATAAATTAGTAAGAGTAGAACCAGTTATTTTAAAATCTTGGTTTAAATGATAGTTTTTTCAGCATAATTTCAGGGGCCTTAGTTTTTCTTTGCAAGGTTCGACTTTGCCTAGTTTAGTTTCTTTTTTTTTTTGTTTGATTTTTGTTTTTTTGAGACAGAGTCTTGCTCTTGCCCAGGCTGGAGTGCAGTGGTGCCATCCTGGCTCACTGCAGCTTCAGCCTCCTTGGGCTTAGACATTCCTCCCACCTCAGCCTCCCAAGTAGGTGGGAGTACAGGCGTGTGCTACCATACCTGGTTAATTTTTTTTGTATTATTTGTAGGGATGGGTTTTCACCATGTTGCCCAAGCTGGTCTTGAACTCTTGGGCTCAAGTTATCTGCCTGCCTTGGCCTTCCAAAGTGGTAGGATCAAAGGCATGAGCCACCCTGTCCATCCAGTTTAGTTTCTTTGTAGGAGGAGGGAAATTTTAGCTTTGGTGTTAAGAGTTCTTTAATGGTGTGAAACTAAAGGGAAAGTTAGTTTTGAAAAGAGTAATTTTCTATTCGCTGTTTATTCTTTGCTGTTGGTTCCCATTTTAAATTAAATTTTCATAAAACAGCAAGACAAAAAGCAATCGCCCCTGCCCCCATATCTGTGGGTTTCACAGGGGAAGATTCAGCCAACTGTGAATCAAAAATATTTGGGAAAAAAGCAATAAAATTAACAATACAGCAATTAAAAGTATAAATAAATAATACAGTATGATAACTATTTCCACAGCGTACATTGTATTAAGTATTATAAGTAATTTAGAAATGATTTAATGTACGTGGGATGATGTACGTAGGTCGTATGCAAATATGACATCATTTTATGCTGGGGACTTGAGCATCCATGGATTTTGGTATCTGTGGGGTCCTGGAACCAGTCCCCTGAGGATACCAAGGGATGCCTGTATTTTTGGCCTCCCAATCTCTTGTCTGGCTTTGTTCAACACTTTGTGAGTATCTGAACTTCAGTTGTCAAGGAAACAAACTTTTATGAAGCTCTTTTAGTGATTAATAAACCCATTTACTTAAAGTACAGATTAAGGGAGTTTAGGTAATGAAGAATTAAAATATCTACTGGTAATAGTTTAGATAAGGTCAGAAATCATTAAAACTTTTGCTACTTAATCTTGAAGCATTCCTTCAAAGTTAAGAAGTTGCTGTGTAATGCTTCTCTTCTGACAGCGTCTGTGAAACTTAGGGCATGTAATTTTTGGAAGTTGCTTCTAAAGGTGCCACTTCAGGCTGGGCACTCACACCTGTAATCCTAGCACTTTGGGAGGCTGAGGTGGGGGGATCACCTGAGGTCAGGAGTTCGAGACCAGCCTAGCCAACATGGTGAAAACCCTGTCTCTACTGAAAATAAATAAATAAATAAATAAAAATTAGCTGGGCATGGTAGTGTGTGCCTATAGTCCCAGCTACTTGGGAAGCTGAGGCAGGAGAATTGTTTGAGCCCAGGAGGTGGAGGTTTCAGTGAGCCGAGATTGCGCCTCTGCACCCCAGCCTGGGTGACAGAGCAAGACTCTGTTCCCCCTCCCAGCACCACCGCCAGAAAAAAAGATGACACTTGAAGTTACGTACTGAAGCCATGTGTGGGGAAAATGCTTATCTTTTCCGAGGAACCAAACAGGTTTTTTTTTAAAAAAAATTGAGCACAGAGCATGATGTGATCCATTATATTTGCTTTGGTTATCAGGAAAATAGACCATGGCTTTATTGGCTGTAGTAATTTTTATCAGCCTTGGGATTCTCTTATGAGCTTTTCCTTTCCTCGTCTCATTCCTTGGATTGCAGAGCTAGATGCTCCATGTAAAACATCTAACATAGGATTTAGCGTATCCTAGGTGTTTTGTTCCTTTTGCCTTGTTCGGTTTTAAATCTTGGTTTTTTGGTTTTCAGTTTCATTTTATCTTCGTTTTGTGAGCCTTGTTAGCCTTTTGGAGGAGTTGGAAAAACAAGAGGATTTAATTTGTGTGGGAATAAAGCATATTTAAAATTGTTTTTTAATCATATTGAGGCTATTACCAAATTTTAGGTTTAAAAAGTGTTAAAAAGAAGTTTGCTATTGAAGGTTGGGCTCAGGGCTCATGCTTAATCCCAGGTGGGAGGCTGAGGTGGGAGGATTGCTTGAGCCTGGGAGGTCGAGGCTGCAGTGAGCCATGATCATGATTTAAAAACAGGTCACTCAAGTTTTGTTTGATTTGGCCTCTTAAGATTTATTTGTTGTCTTTGTCTAACAGTTCTTTCTCAGTATAACAAATTGTCATACAAAGGGTGTAAAAAATAAAAGTCATTCAGTTTCGTCACCTAAAACTAGTAATTATTAAGATAATTGTATACTTATTTATAACTTTTATATACATAGAGTTTGAAAGCTATTTTGTAAATTTAACAATATAAGATAGACAGTCATCCACAGCAAATATTTTTAGTGGCTAGAAAGTATTTTCACTGTAGAGGTTGGGCACGGTGGCTTATGCTTGTAATCCCAGCACTTTGGGAGGCTGAGGCAGGTGGATCACTTGAGATCAGGAGTTTAAGACCAGCCTGGTCAACATGGTGAAACCCTGTCTCTACTAAAAATACAAAAATTAGCTGAGTGTGGTGGCTCCTGTAGTCCCAGCCTGTAGTCCCAGCTACTTGGGAGGCTAAGGCAGAAGAATGGCGTGAACCCAGGAGGCGGAAGTTGCTGTGAGCTGAGAT